AAAGGCAAATAATATCCTGACCGACGGGCTGTCTGGGAAGCAAGAATTGCAAAACCAATCCCCACCCCATCACGGAGAGAATGTGTGCATGGAGGAGAGGGAGCGTGAGGAGGGGGGAGAGAGGGAACGAGACAGACAGAGGGGAGGGAAGAAGGGAGGAGGGAGTCCAAGCTCTGAGAAACATCACTCCATCTCTCTCACTCCACAGGAGCCGAGCGAGAAGCAGGACCATGTTCGACAACACGCAGTACCCCTATAACTGCTTTAATTACGATGGGGATGATTACCCGACCTGTAGTTCTGACGAAGAGAAAAAATTCACCAGACCGGCTTACAGGTAAGATGAAGTTTTTCTAAGTTCTCCCATCCCTGGGGAGGATTCTGAGCTCTGGGATGGTGGGATATCTCTTGGGGAGCCTGGGACCTCTCCCCAGGTGTGGGCAGTGGGGCTGGCCCCGGCACAGGCACCGTGGGGGCAAAATTCCCCCCACCCTGTGTTTGAAGTGCTCGTGATTTGTTTCCTTCTGCGTGGGGTTACAGCAACTCTGGCATGTTGTTGAGTCACCAGACCTCAGGTGGTCCCCTCTGACCTCCAGGAGCCTTGGGAGAAGGAGAATTAAATGTGCAACACGCTGGTGGGTGGGGTGCACAGAATCCCCAGTGTGGGGGGAAGATGGGTGGTGTAGGTGTTGGCAGAGGCAGCAAAGGTCCTTTCCACGAGCCAGGAAGGTCTTCACTGACAGTGTCTCTGAGCCTGCTCTGTCTCCCTGCAGCCTTTTAGCTCAGGGAAACTTTTCTGACAGGGTTTGAGAGGTGGGTGATTTTTCTGTAATCCTGCTGTATTTAAGCTCTCTCTGCTGAGTGCCAGGGCAAAGAGCCAGGTCAAGACTCAATTGCCTGGGAGAAAATCCTATTTATCACCCTGGGGGCTTGGGGCAGAGAGGCAGGACCATGTTCAGGGCTTATCCCTGGGACGTCTCAGGTTTAGGGTGCAGATCCACCAGGAGAATTTCAGCAAGCAGCACACAGACACACATGTACCAGTGTGGTCCTAAAAACTGCCTGTGTGAGTGAGGTGATGGTGTAACAGCAAGTTTTCCTTTTTTCAGCTACATTGCCTTAATTGCAATGGCCATCCAGCAAAGTCCTTCAAATAAAGTCACCCTCTCTGGCATTTATGACTTTATAATGAAGAAATTTCCTTACTACAGATCAAATCAAAGAGCCTGGCAGAACTCCATCCGACATAACTTATCGCTTAACAGTTGTTTTGTAAAGGTAAGATCAGTAACTCTGTATTTACATACACACTGTGCATGGCTAAAAAAAAAATCTATGCAGGAATAATCTCATCACTAGGAAAGAAGGGAAACAAACAGCTGAGCTGAGAATCACTTAAAATCCCTCTGAGTCGTCAACTGCAGAGATAAAGAGTATGTCCTTGTCTGATGCATACTAAAAGATAACAGATTGAAAAGGATGCAGTTTACATCCTATTTGTATAACGAAAGAGAATAGGCTTGAAAGTCTTGTCATACATGTTTACACCATTCTTGAATGTAAATGAATGCAGATGCAGCAGCATCTGCAACACATACAAATACTGAACTGCCTTTAAATAAATACAGGTTCCCAGAACTGAGGGGAATGAGAAGGGGAAAGGAAACTATTGGAGCTTTGCAACGGGATGTGAGTCCATGCTGGATCTCTTTGAAAATGGGAATTACAGGCGAAGACGAAGGAGGAGGAATGTGAAAAGGGAACACAAGGAGCACAGACCAAGCAGAGGAAAAAGTCCTTTGTCGCCTGATAAGTCTTCTACGGACTCCGCTCTAAATATTTCCTCTTCTGAAAGTAAACATGAAAGAGTTGAATCGGGACCAAGATTATTGGAGCCTCGTGGGTTTGCTCCAAACAGCATGAGCAGCAGGCAGAGCCGAAGCAATTCCTCCTTAGCAAAATCGGATTCTGAAATTAAATTCAGCATCGATTACATTCTTTCAGCCCCCGACCCTTTGCCTGTCCTGAGATCTCAGTACAATATGCAAGAAAATAAGTATCATCTCCTGGAGGCCCAGCAAATTAATCTCCAGTTCTGGACAATGTGATGTTATTTGTGGTAACACAGTCTGAATTGTGGTGTATTCAGCAGCCTCATGTCACTGAAAATCAGCTGCCTGCCTCGTTTTCTTCCTTAGCAGTACTCAGCAAGGGTTACCAATCCACCAGCAGATACACTATCTGTACCCAAAGAGCTTTGCTAAGGTTAAAGCATAAATCACAGCTACCAATATTGGTTTTCATTATGCTGAAATTCATGAAATTCTAGCTCTGTTTTCTGAACTGTCATGGACATCATTTAACACCACAAAGAATTTCCTTTCTCAAGCAGAAGCCCACAGAAGAGGCTTGCTTATCACCCCGTTGCTTTATTAAAGATAAAACAAATTTGATTCCACTTTCACTGGTGGAAATTAGGATTAAGTCCCCTGAAGTATATAAGTCAGAACTTAAGCTGATCTAAACCAGTGTAATTCTGTCGACTTACACTGGCTGAGAATGTGAGGGGGGGGGGCTTTGTTCTCTTAAAAGGAATCACAGAAAGTCACTGTGTCATCCCTTATTTTTATTTCAACATCGTGTTTCAAACTGTTGTGCAGCTTTAATGAATCATTAATTAGAAAATTTAGTTGTGTTTAAACACTTAAACTGACAATATTATTAAGTGTTTAAAGTACATTTCTATTGATATTCAGAGCCGAGTTGTTCAAACTGTTAAAGTTGTACTCAAAATCATTCCAAGAGAGCTAATTGCAAGGCTATTGCACTCTTGGTAAACTTTGAGGGGTGATGTGGCAGAGCCATAGGGCCTTTAATGATTTGATTTTAAATAAAAAAAACCTCTTCCCTTGTACTACCAGAAAGCTTTCTGAGATGCTGCAGGAAAGTCCTTGGATATATTTTGTTAAGCAAGTGTGAAGGGAGATGTGGCTTTGCAAGAAGCTGCACCCAGTGTTGACCCAAGCCAGGATTCCACCTGCCTGCTTTGTGACAAGTTGTCTATTCCTATTGAACAGATTTTTATTGATCCTTCTTGCAAGCAATTACCAAAGTGGTACTTGATACGATTTCAGCAAAGCTGGTGAGATGTATAATTCACAGACAGCAATGTTAGCTCATGAGCTCCATTTCTGGAGAAAGCTGTTTCATTACCATTTACATGCAGTGGGGTATTTCAGAGCAGAACCTGATGGATCATGAAGAACTGTAACGAGCATTTAAGAACTTTTATGCAACTTGCTCCAAATGAAATGCTTCCCAGTACCTAAAGACTTCACAAAATCTATGGCTTGGCTACTACAATCTTCACCTACTGCAGATAAGAGGGAAAAAAAAAGACAAGGGTTCTGATGATTTTAAGCAATTATATACAGAGAGAAAAAATTATCTTTGCAACATGAACTAAAGGTAAATGAAGGTACAAGAGATAAGATTCAGCAAAATTGTGCTAGAGGTATGCTCAGGCATGACTTGAATTTTTATGCAGAAGCTTTGACATTTCACTAAGTTATTTTACATTGTGTCTAATATATACTGTACATTTATACTATATATTCTTATATATTGTTATTGAGAAAGGGAGCAATATCACTGCACTTATATGTTGTAAAAATGCATGATGTATGTTGGCATGATGCTGAAAATCCTGCCATATACTTAGAATTTACCATCAGTAGTATTTCATACTGCTTGGTAATAAATGCTCTTTTTTTTTTTTTTTTTTAAACTATAAAACTTGCTGTATCCAGGCATTTCCAGAGCATGCAAAAGTCTTTGCTTCTTCTTCAGAAAAGAAAAAAATGGAAAATCTTGTCAGTTACATCACTGCACATCTTCCAAACTTTGAAGGGGTGATTTGTTTTGAGCAAGTTCTGCCTTTGGATGGGAGCTTTCAATTCTCTATGAATCAATGCTTATTCTGGGTGATTATCTGAAAGCAAAATTTGACCCATTAAACTTGATTGATCTTCTGTTTACGTTGACATTAGAAAAGGAAGAAAACCTCTGGGGTCACTGGGCAAATGGGCTCTCATTTGGAAAGGGACAAGAATTTGCTCCTTTGGTATTTATGCTCAGTAGTAAATAGGTGTGGGAAGAGCATGTCCTCGTTTAGTCCTGCAATGTATGCATGCACTCATGTGTGGGTTGGTATGGCTGCACCTCTAGGATCCTACATTTATATATTCATGCTTTATATGCAGATTTTTTTCTTGATTGTTTTAAGCATGGCAATGCTGCTGGTAGGCTCGTAGTCACAGTACACACCTGCAGTATATCTGAAATATATATTTTTTGCTCTGAAATGTGCAAATATGATTCTTCCTATGTGTTCTTTGATAATGCTGTTAGTAATAGGTACCTGGATGACAAAAGTTCCTACTAAGCATACACAAAGCCCTCACAGTGGGCTGCTGAGACCAAGGGAGATACAGTTATAGCTACTGAGCAATAGAGGATAAAAAGCATTAGGAAAGGCAGAAATATAGGCAGGTGGATTTGAAGCAGAGATCCGAAACCGTTTTCAGTAAGATGAATTAATATTCACAAATAGCCATGTCCTTTGCTCACAGTAAAGTGCCTGCTAGGAGAGACTGTCATACTTGAGTTTCCCTAACATATAATCAAAGAAATTTGTGTACAAATAGGTGTTAACATTTGTTTTGCAAAGCATATCAATCATATTTCAAAAAATGAAGGGACATATTTCAATTTACCCAGTCTATTATATTCTGACAACTCCAGAAAGGTTTCCAGCAGTTAAAGTGAATGGCATTTAATATAGAACAACATAACAGGGGTGAGGGCTAGACGTGACCTTATTCAAATGTCGTAGCCATTACAAAGCCATTCCCAATGTAATTATAATTAAATACTTTATGCCTTTCTTGCAAATCCTCTGATCGATCATTGATATTAACATTAATATTGTATTACCCCCGAGCAAATGTCTCCCATGCAAGTGTTATGGATCACCAGATTTCCATTAACAAAGTTGTGAGCTATTGCCATGTGCTGGTCCTGGATAAATTTACGTAAATTACCTTTTCTCAGGGAAGGAAGAAAAAGTATAGGGGTTTTTCTTTTTTCTTTTTGTCCCTGCACTCTGAGTCTAGAGGTATTTCTTCAGCTCTGTCACAGCCTGTCAGCTACTTACATAAAGCCATAACCAAAGAAAAAAGAAAATCGACAGGAACATCCCTCTTTGCCCTCTTGCCCTGTTGAGGCAGGTCGATGTTCTCCAGACACAGCTGGTTTGGTACATGGTTAAAAGCTGAGCTGAAGCCAGGGCTGAGTAGGGCAGGACAGGGGTCTTCACCCCACCAAAGTAACCACTGGGCTGGTGAGGCTGTGCACTGCAGCCAAAGTGAGACAAGGTATTGGGGTTTGGCTCAATTCCTCACCTTAAGGGGTCTTCCTAACTGCAAAGAGAGACCCCAAATCAGCCATGTGCTTCCTGACCCCAAAGATGTTCTTCCTTTGGAGGCTGACACTGGCTGTCCCAAGCCCAGGATGAGAGAGCAGCTCCTCCCTGCCGGGCTGAGGGAGAACAGCCTTTTTCCTCTCCTTTTAGGCTCACAAATACCTTTGCAAAGGAAAGATGAAAGGTTTCTTCCTGGGGAGAAGCTAGGCTCAGCCTCACTGAGGGACCCTGGGGTGTTTTGTTTATTTATCCTTTTAAAGAAGGCTTCCCATGATAAAACAAAGATTTTGATGGAGCTATGCCAGGTTATTCTGCAGCCATTTGACTTCTAACAATTTAATTTCTTAGGCTTTTGTCACTGGTGTCTCAGAAGTGTTTTTTCGCACAGCAAGATGGTGCTTTGCCTCACAATGAAATTCAAAGTACTTGGACCAGGATGGAGCACTTTTTTCTTCTCCCACCATCAGTGAAGGGAGGCCAGATAACACCAAATGCAGGCCAGTGGTTGACCTCACCTAAGAGAACCTCTCCCCCAGCAGAACCTCCTCCTCATTATGGAAGCATTAATGCAAATTAGGATAACTAAAAACAAACCTTCTCTTTGTCAGTAAAGCCAAGTTCTTATATTTTTCTGCCAATCAGATAGACCTTATTAGTTGAGACCCATTAACTCCCCGTATAAACAGAAGCTGTGTTCAAGGAGCATTGGAAGGTCAAACCACACTGGAGAGCTGGCTCTCCCCACACCTTTGCTTCACTGTGCTCCATCTTGTTCCTTGGGCCACCCAGATGAGCAGTAGGTTGTTCCCCAGCTGCCTCACAGAGCAGTCTCGAAACTGGATTAAGATTTTTTACACCTCTTTCTGGTCACAGTGGGTTTTTCTTTTGGGTTGCAATTGCCTGTTCAGGTCCAAATCTCATGTGTCTTCTCCAGTCTGTACCAGTAGAGGGGACACACTGGGAGGAAAAGGGGTTTGGAGGGACAAGCCTTGGAGAAAACGCTCTGCTACGTGTCTTCCAGAAGTACAGAGCTGGTTGAGACTCAGCAAATGGTAGAGTGCAAGGGTACTCAGGGTTGGGGTTCAAGTCTCTCCTGCAGATTGAGGGCAGCATCTCACCAGTGTCACCACACTCAAGCTCAGGCAAAAGAGGGAATGTAACCCACATGCCCCCAAGAAAACAGGGCTTTTATCTTCATCTCTGGCAGTGGGACACAAATCCCTGTCTGTGATCAGCAATTCAGATCCCAAACCCAGGACATGGAAATCCTGTGCTGCTCATTCCAGCTGGCCTCTCCCCTGTCTGTCTCCTCTGGGGTATGTCCTCCTCCTGCTGTGTGGATATAAATCCTTGCAAATCCATTAACTTTGGTACAATTACTTTTCGAACTGAAACAGCACATGTGAAACTGAACTTTGCGTGTTATGGCCAATGTCTCTACTCACACAGCCTTCCAAACTCTGCCAGCAACTCATCTCCTAGATGGAATTCTCAGAGCAACAAACGATCCTGCCTCTTTCTTTTGCCCCAGCACCCAGCTTCTCATTGCTTTCTCCAGAACATGGTACCACAAGCACTACAATTCACAAAGACCCTAGTCCATACCCTCGGTCTCTGCTTTACTGG